ATATTACCTATATAAAACCAAGGTTTCAAAACCTTTTGACTTTTTCATCAGACAGCATACCGCACTTTTTTTTTTGTTTTTGTTTAAAGGATATAAATCACATTTTTTTAAGATATTTTACAAAACAGCTTTTTAAAAATATAATTACATTAGCTGACACTTATTTTAAACTAAAATAAGATAAATTATTCTTTGGGCCTACATACACTATCAGAAACGTAAGATGAATTTGACGACAACATGAACTGATAGTTTAGTTTACACTTTCATGAACTGTCATGAAGCGTGAAATTTGTTTTGTTTTGTATAAACGTATAAAATGCTTGTGTGTAGTAGTGCAGAGTACAGAAATTCAAAGTATTCACAAACACCAAAACATAACATTGTATATGTATGCGTGTCAAGCTTAAAAAATAAGCAGCAAATTTCATTGATTGAAATTCATGAACTAACATCACACTCTATCGGCTGCCGGTTTTCAAGTTCATGTTCATGTTACGTTCATGATAGTGTAAATTGGGCCATTCAATTTAATGCCTAAGCAATGTTCTATCAATCTTCCCCTAACTCCATTATTTACATGTTAAGATAGCCTCGTTTAGCGCTGTTTTGCATTGCGGTCTATTTTGATGGAACCTGTCCTACACGTTAAGCGGGGTCTTACTGTATATACAATTTTCGTTTTTTGCTTGCCATTGATTTAGAATTATTCTAATTCTAATTCTAAATCAATGTTTACAAATAAGCATGTAGTAGAAAAGTAGCAAAAATAAGTTTGTATACTAGCCGAGACACACATCATTGTGGTACATATGCCATCACAATGTCCAATGTGCCTAACCACAATGGATTAAATCCACATATTATAAATGTTTTTATAACACTTTCGCACAGTTCTCTGCATTTTTTGAATGAACCTGTCCTACGCGTTAAGCGGGGTCTTACTGTATATACGATTTTTGTTTTTTGCTTGCCATTGATTTAGAATAATTCTAAATAAGCATACAGTAGAAAAGTAGCAAAAATATGTTTGTTATACTAGCCGAGACACGCACCACTGTGGTACATACACTATTCCAATGTCCAATGTGCCTAACCACAATGGATTAAATCCACATATTATAAATGTTTTTATAACACTTTCGCACAGTTCTCTGCATATTTTGCATTTTCTACGTTTTCTTTACGCATTTTGTATGAACGAGTATTTTACTGTTCACACTGCAACGGAACAGTGAGTGCTGGAAAATAGAATATAAATATATTAAATTGTGCATATAAATAAATATTTGAATATTGTTTATATTTTTAATAGGCATATAAAAACATTTTATAATAAGTGTTATAACAATTAATAAAATAGGAAATTAAAATTAAGTAACTTATTTTGTGTATTTGCGGTACGTGTTTCGCCAATAACAAAAACAGCTGTGCTTTGTTTGTATGAAGAAAATTTCATTTTCGTTTTTGGAAATAAAATAAGCACCAGGGCCGGTTGCGAAAATGTCTGCAGA